ATATATATATATAAAGTCACCGTCAAACTACTTCAATAATGTAACATCAATTATTTTGTATGTCAAAAAAGTTTTTCCTCTAATAATGGATATCAAAATTATATCCCAGACAAACATGTCATTTTTAGTATTTATTAGCTGTTTAAATAATATATAATATAATGTTTGCTTGTATTTTTTCTTCATAAACTAACTTGAATTTTAAATAGATGACCCATTCAAAACAAAAACAAAGGAAGATGAATGTTACAAGAAAAAAAAAATTGTGAAAATGTACCCAAAATGATGATCAAGTTCGAAATAGGTTTTTGGCCATAACCATTCTACAGCCTTTCCTTTGTCATTTTCCCTCTTAATTACATTAAAAACTTGTACACTCACCTGACAAGGGACTTTGTTTTAGGTCCTGCTAAAAAAAATACTAAGTTTTTTGGTCCTGACAAACGACTTCAACCACATAAAGTGGCCATTTCAAAAGCTGAAATGCATAGTGAAAGAAAAGGAAAGAACGAAGTATCTCATTGTATGGATATGATCCATTTTGAAGTGGTCTAATGTTGTCAAATTCATGATTGGGGCGCGGGGTGGTGCCTCAGTTGGGTGACGGATGTAGACATTTCGACTTGTGGGGATAGTATATACGTATAAATGAAGTAGTATTTTAGTTTGTATATTATATATCATAACATTTTATAAAAAGTATAATTAAATTTTTTATAAAAAAAAATTAAAACATAAATATATAACTTTAATATATAATTATAATAATAAATATTTAAATAGTATAAATTAGATTTTGTATTTAGAATGAAAATTTTAAATTTTGATATAAAATTGTTTTTATTTGTTGTTAATTTTAAAAAATTATTGAAATTCAGTTTTAAAACAGATGCAAAATAAAAGATAATCCAAAATAATCGAGAGAAACCAAATGACTTGTTGTTGAGATAGTACATGAAATGTACATCTAAAAAATATAAAATATTGAGAATGTCTAATAAAATGAGATTAATAAGAAGAATAAATTTGTGGGATAATCATAATACTTATGTTATAAATTGATATTTTACTATATTTTAAATTATAAAGACAATTTGTAATTAACTAATTATAGATATATATTATATTTAGAAATGTTAAAAAGTTTGGGGCCAGCCCCACACTCGTGTCGCGTATGTGAATCCGCCACCATTCTCAGTTGATGACAGATAGATAAACCAGTTTAAATTTATATTTATTAATAATAATTCATGTTACTTCATATATATTTTTAAAGTATTCATTAAAGTTGGTTGTTACTTCTTACCAATAAAAAAAATTATATATATATATTAAGAGTATCTCGTGTTTAAAGATAATAAGTGATAAATCTCATATCCAAATATCAACTTTGTTGATCTCTTAGTCGATTGAGAAAAAATAAAATTTATAGAGCACAGCAACTTTCAATGAAACGAAAGCAATCCTTTGCAATAACTTGAATTGCAAAATCGTAAAGATAATTAGAATTTGCTACTGAATGCCAAAAACAAAAAAGTTTAATTTTCAAATGTATTAGACTATTTGAAACACTAATTGCAAGCTCAAAGTAAGACACCAATCACCATAGCTGATTATAAATTTAATAACTGAAACATAATAAAGAAATTAAAAAAAAATCCAATGAACTTGAGGAATGATATAAATTCATAATAGTCTTTAAAAAACGCTTTCGTTTAACATATATTTTTTAGTCAATTTATACATTAAAAAACTATTTTATTTTTATTTTTTAAAATATTGGATTTGTCTCCCAATCCAAACGCTGAGGAAGTCTAGTTATCCACTTGATAAAGTATTATATCAAACTCCGCAAGCGAATAATAATACTTTCTGTTTAACAATTATTCAAATAGTAGAGTATTATTTTTCCGTTAATAAGCAGAGTTTTTCAATCTGTGGATTTTCTTTACTAGTTGCAGTTTTTTAATAAATTACCTATGGATTGGATCACTTTTTTCAAATCAGATCCAGTTGTAGCCACTATATTTGAAAAAGGTATTTGACTTTTTCTTAGCCAAGAAAGGAATATGGTGAGAGAGAAATATTATTTGACGAATTTGAAATTAAGAAACTTACGTAAAATGATAAAAAGTAGTTTTCACTGTAACCGCTTGAAAACTATAGTTGGTCTCTTTTCATGTCAAAATCTTTGTGTCATTAAACAGGATTTCACTTAAAATAATATCAAAATTCCACATTTTATAATAAACCTCTTAATCAAGCTGTCAAAAAATAAATTTCTTAATCAAATTATTGACTTGAGCTAATCAGAGAAGTAAGTCAATCAAGTAAAGAAAATTCCCTCACATTTTTTTACATTCTCTATTATTTGTTAAAAACATTAAAAATACAAATTATATTTCATTTCTTATTTAATAAATTTATCTTAATTTTGATTGTTAATAAATTTCAATTTATGATAATATGTTAGGAAAAAATATACTACTGATATTCCTCTACACCGAATATTTTGTAAAAGGAGAAAAATAAAAATAAAAAATTCGTTAAAATAGAATGAAAACAAGAAGAATAATTTGGTAAATAAGACACTTACCAGTGACGTGTCAACTCCACTGAAAAACCTCCACCCACCACATTCTGCAACAATCATTTTCACCCATGTACTCTCATCAACTTTACAATATATGAATCTATATATTTTTTTTCTGTGTTATTTTAAAGTATCCAATTCTCTAGCACATTTTATCATTATAAATTTGAACATGCATAATTTCTTATATTAAAAAAAAGCATAATTTCAGAAAATGAAAATTACCAAATGAAAAGTTCTAAAAGCACTAAAAACTATCTATTTTAAAATAAAATCACTGCCTTCATAAGGCTCCAAAATGGAAATTTTCGATTAATCAGGAAAAAGAAAAGAGAAGAAAAATTTAATAAAAACAAACTTTGCCAAAAAGTGATCATTTCAATTATATATATTGACGAAAACAAACTTTTAATTTTACAGCACAAATTTATCTTTTAAAATAGGATGTATGCAAGGACATATTTTCAATTTCAAAAAATCAAACTACAATTTCAAAATAGTGGACAAGACAAGGATAACAAGCACATTGTAATTCCGACAGATTACAAATAAAATAAAATTTAATATATTTTTATTTGCTTATTTTGAAAATATACTTACTAACACTATCTTATAACATTATCTTTTTATATTTTAATTTAAAAATAATATTTATAAAAAAAAAAAAAAACAATACATTCACACAAAAAGCAAAATTATGTAAAAAAAATACAAAATTATGAAATATTTTAAGTTTCAAAACCATATATTTATTTAATTATTATTTCATCCTATTGATATCGGATATCCTTTTGTTGAACTTAAGAAAGATAAAAAGGACAAAAACAAAAACAAAATAAAAACATTAGTTTTCGCCCTTACATATCTATCATCACTCTCACTTAAACTAATAACTCAGAAAAAAGAAATTATAAAATTTAATCAAATAATAGCCTATTTTCAAACAAAACGATATCTTTACAATTTTACAAAGAGCTTTATTTTATTTTATTTTATTTTTTATAAAGAGCTTAATTTTAATAGACGACTCATATAAAAACTTACACAATATACATTAGTACTAACTAATTAAAAATTTTAATTACTAATAAAATCGATAAATATTTACATTTAAAAAAAAAAAAAAGCAATCACTGTATAAAATTGAATAATTATACTAAACTTGGAAAAGTAAAAAATGTCCTTAACCTTCTATCTGTCCTGATATACAAAGGAATACTCTTTTCAGTAATTATTTTTGTCTCTTTTTTTATTATTATATTTTTTTATTTTAAAAAATTAAAAAAAATATTTTTTAATTAAATTTTAAAAACTTGAAACTAATTAACTAATTATAATATTAAATTAATTTATATTTATTATTTAATTTTTATTTTATTTTATCTTTAATAGAGATATGAAATATCTCGATTATCAAGTTCTATTTAAAATAAATCGAAAAATAAAATAATTATTTCAAAAAATTTATTAAAAAAAAAAGTAAAAATGATAAAGCAAAAGTTACTCGTTTACCGAACTTCTAATAGTAAGTGAAGTGAGTGTGAGAGTAAGAAACAACAACAGCAGCAACAAAAATAGAAAGGAAAGTGAAAAAGCGAGGGAACAGATTACCGAACGAGGAACACGCCGCAGCAGATTCCAGCATCAAGATCGCCACTCTCACGAACAGGAACGGAAGCACGATCCCGAGCACGACCGCCACGGGAAGCACCGTCCGACTCCAAATCCGGCGACCGGAGCCGCCGCCGCCGCTCGACGGCGCCGTGGTGGCCTTGGGCGATCCCTTGGCGGCGTTGGAAATCGTCACTCTCTTTATCCCCTTGGTCGATATGTAGAACTTCATCTCCGCGGTTCCATGAATCAACCACGAGATCTGAAGCTTCAATAGCGCTTCACAAGAGAGAGAGAAAGAG